GAGTTACCGCGTTTCCCGTTGTGGGCCGGAGAGCAGAGGCGATCGTCCTTCTGTCTGCGGGGGGGGGGGGGGGTGAAAAGTTTTGGGGGGGGTGGGGGGGGGGGGGGGGGGGGGAGCGAGCTTGTGGCAACTACCATTGAGGCTACACCCTAACCGGCATTTATCGTAAACTTCAACTGCCACAGCGGCGCGTCAAGGAGGATTTTTCGGGGGGCAGCAGAACATGACACCTCGCCACGGGCAGATGCCTGTGTGGGGGAGATGCTTTGGCAACCCATAGACCATATCAATATTGGCCTAATGGCAATGACAACGACAACGTTAGCTATCCATAAAAAGCAACGACAACTCTTTACAGCTGCCAGGGAGAATAGGTTGGGGCAGAAAAGTTGTGGATGGCAGACTGACAATGCGAAATGCTAATCCAATTGAGTCAGCGGCGACTCCTGGACTGCTGCTTCTCCAGACTGCAATAATCATAAACAGATATTATATTATTTATCTCCGTCCTCGTCGTTCTTTCTTATGTATTAATCTCTCTCTCTCTCCACACCCAAAATCTTTCACACATTCGTAATTGCCCAGCAGACTTGTGGCTGGACCTCTCGGACTCTGCCTGGAACCCATTTGGTTCTCTGTCCTGTAAGATTTCTCCTCGCCTAATTGCACTTCTTGGCTCTCGCTTGGGGGCACATTATCGTAATGACACGAAACGAGTTCAAAGCTAACTTCCCTCATATAGTTTTTCATTAGCTTTTCGGTTCTGTGTGCGGGGGGGGGATAGTCGCATAAGCCGCCTTTGATGACCGCCTTTTAAGTCTAATTAACTGCTAATAGGCAATAAATCATTATTACTCAAATTTCAGAGGCGGAACGAAGGTGGGTTGAGGGTGGAGTTCAGTAGTTGTGTCGGGACACGGGACACGGGACACTGGACACATTGAAATAAATGCATAAGCGTGTGATTTGGGGTTGTGGGAACAACGAATAAGGGGATACACTTTTGGAGAAGTAAGGGAAATGTTTGTGGGGTTCCTTTCTGTCTTCTTTGCTAAACAAATTTCAAGACTCTGCCACTTCGACTTCATTGAAAGTATTAAGTAATTTTG